TGTCATAAATAGATTTTCTTTATCAGTTAACTTCTATTAACTAAATGAAATCATCATTTGGTGTGAGCATCCTTGTGTTTAAAGCAGCGTTTGTCCTCGGTGCACTTGAGCAGAGTTTCTCAGGAGCTTTGCAGGAGGTTTCTAGAAGCATCAGTTCTTCTGGATTGAGTCTGTCTCAGTTTGTTCTGTTTCTTCATGTGACTCCAGACAGACTGATGAGGATCAGATCAGAGCTCTGTGTGCAGCACAAACATGAATCTCACTGCATTATTACAATTAATGGCCAAAATGAATGTTTGGAAATGTAAACTGATATTTCCTACTGACACACTACAGCAAAAGATAGAAATAACTGACTTGAAACCATTTCTTACCTGGTGGAAATACTAGTGTTCTAATCATTTTGGCCACCAATGTATAAGATCAGAGATCAAATCTTTGACTGAAGTGAGTATTTTGGTCTTTTCTTCTGGTGAAGCTCCTGTGATGTAGATACACACTATACACACTATACGACATACAGGACCTCAGTGAGACCTGCTGTTGTGCCTCACGCACCTCTGACAGCGCTGAAGGTGTTGAGGTGTTCGGCGGTCAGCAACGGCGCCGGGAGTTCACGGATGAACTTCTTGAGCAGAGCGGCGGCGTCATTCGGACTGACCTCGTCCCAGCTGAACGAACCGCTGTAAAACGAGTTCTCTAGCATCTGCTGCAGCACCTACGACCGACACAGCGACTGTGAGCCGAAACACACTCACACAGAGCTTATTCATATGTGATGCATAAAAATACTTTGGTTATACCATGGTACAGTAAGCAGGCATTCGTACAAAACATGTTTTTCCATTCCACAGCGCTACTTTTCCATTGTTTTTCTATGTAAACAAGTGCAGGACAGGCGCGTTTCACTGTTGCATTTGAGTCTTTTATGGTGTCTCACGCATGAAACAGTGTTCTAAAAACATAAAATAAGTTCAACTTTAAAAATGTCTTGAGATCTTGCATTTTTCCCCATTCCACTGCATGTGTCTATGGAAATCAGCCCTTGTGGGGTCAGATGGAACTTCAATAGATACCATGGTACTACCAAGGTACTTTTAGTACTTATTTCATAATAATGTTTTATTTTACTTTGATTCTGGACTGAGACCCTGGAACCCGCAGAATCCCTTCAGAATCGAGACCCTTCTTCTCCAGAAATGACAGAAGCTGAAACAGAAATAAAAAAACAATCATGTACAAAACACCTAAGAGTTTAGTTTGAGTTGATGAAACGGAAACGGCAGGAAATCTTTTCTTCTGTATTGTGATGTACATACAAAACAGATTATCAGAAAAGAAAAAAATGTAGGGCGGGGCTTGGTTCTGTGCATCAGTTGTTGATTGGATGTTGAAGTGTGGGCGTGGCTCTCAAAAAGGGAGGCAGATCTGAATGTGAGCTTGCAGGGGCGGAGTTTAAAAGCACCAAATGTTTGGAAAGTCCTTTTCACTGGAAGATCCAGTTATGACATTTTGGTTAAACATGCGGTCAAAACATGTATAAAATAAAAATGAAACGTATGTACGGATGAATACCAATTGACATTGGTAACACTTTACTGAAAGCCTTTATGTATAATGCATTATAAAGCTATTCGTAATGTTAGTTGTAATGCATTATATCTTTCCATAAATAGTTGGTTAAAATGCATTATAATACTTGAAGGTTGGTTTGTCATGTGATTTGATGCATTGTATTTTGTAAAGGTGTAACAATAAAATAGACAAGTATTATAATGTGTTATAACTGTGGTTACAATTATTAATGAGATAATACAATGCATTATAAGGAGCATTATAAAGTATAATTAATGCATTAAAACTACATTTGTAATGCATTATATATAAAGGCTTTAAGTGAAGTGTGACCTTTACATTTCATGCTGAATTTAAAGTAGTATTATAATAACAGTTTGGACGTAATAAATTGGTGCAAAAGGAAATGATGTTATGACGTACTGTTTGGAGGAAGAGTGGGATCTGAGTGTTGGGTTTGATCTTCTGATCGCTCTCCACCAATGAGGCGAGAGGAACGCCGAACAAACAGCTCTCTGACAAACAGGAAGACATTCGACAGGATTCTGATTATTGGTCACACAGATCCGAATGAGTGTGGTCACGTGACAGGAAACTCACCAGGGATTTTCCGTTTGCAGGTTTTGTGTCGTTTGACCTCGAGCCCCAGCAGGTCGCAGAGCGCCGTCATGTCAATCAGAGCCAGCTGACGGACCTTCTTCATATCCTGCTGGGAAAGATCCAGCACCCGCGTCACTCCCAGCCGGCACTGCGGACAGATGACCCGCTACAGACGGAGAGAGAAAGACAGGAAAAGGAGGTGAGACACACCTCTCTGTTCACTGGTTTGATTTTATTATCATTATTATTATTTAGTCATTCTGAGATTATGAGCATCAGCTAATAACTTCAGAGAGACAGATAGGCGGAAAGTGAGTGTTATGCGGTTGCTATGGTTTTTTTAGTGTGTTGCTATGGTGTGTAACTGTAGACAGGCGGACAGTGCGTGTTGTTATGCGGTTGCTATGGTGTTTTTAGTGTGTTGCTTTGGTGTGTAACTGTAGACAGACAGGTGGACAGTGAGTGTTGTTATGCAGCTTTTATGGTGTTTTTAGTGTGTTACTATGGTGTGTAACTGTAGACAGGCAGACAGTGAGTGTTGTTATGCAGTTGCTATGGTGTTTTTAGTGTGTTGCTTTGGTGTGTAACTGTAGACAGACAGGTGGACAGTGAGTGTTGTTATGCAGCTTTTATGGTGTTTTTAGTGTGTTACTATGGTGTGTAACTGTAGACAGGCAGACAGTGAGTGTTGTTATGCGGTTTTTATGGTGTTTATAGTGTGTTGCTATGGTGTGTAACTGTAGACAGGCAGACAGTGAGTGTTTTTATGCAGTTGCTATGGTGTTTTTAGTGTGTTGCTATGGTGTGTAACTGTTGACAGACAGGTGGACAGTGAGTGTTGTTATGCGGTTTTTATGGTGTTTTTACTGTGTTGCTATAGTGTGTAACTGTAGACAGGCAGACAGTGAGTGTTGTTATGCGGTTTTTATGGTGTTTTTAGTGTGTTGCTATGGTGTGTAACTATTGACAGGCAGACAGGTGGACAGTGAGTGTTATGCGGTTTTTATGGTGTTTTTAGTGTGTTGCTATGGTGTGTAACTGTAGACAGGCAGACAGTGAGTGTTGTTATGCGGTTTTTATGGTGTTTTTAGTGTGTTGCTATGGTGTGTAACTGTAGACAGGCAGACAGTGAGTGTTGTTATGCGGTTTTTATGGTGTTTTTAGTGTGTTGCTATGGTGTGTAACTGTAGACAGGCGGACAGTGAGTGTTGTTATGCAGTTTCTATAGTGTTTTTAGTGTGTTGCTATAGTGTGTAACTGTAGACAGGCAGACAGTGAGTGTTTTTATGCAGTTGCTATGGTTTTTTTAGTGTGTTGCTATGGTGTGTAACTGTAGACAGGCGGACAGTGCGTGTTGTTATGCGGTTGGTATGGTGTTTTTAGATGTGTTGCTATGGTGTGTAACTATTGACAGGCAGACAGGTGGACAGTGAGTGTTGTCATGCGGTTTTTATGGTGTTTTTAGTGTGCTGCTATGGTGTGTAACTGTAGACAGGCAGACAGGCGGACAGTGAGTGTTGTTATGCAGTTGCTATAGTGTTTTTAGTGTGTTGCTATGGTGTGTTAGGGCTGTCAAAATGGCTGAAAAACTAAATTCGAATTTTGTACTTAAATATTATCAATATTCAAAATATATTCGAATTTAAAAGGCATAATTTCAGTTAGGGGGGAAAAAGCTTTTGGCTTCTCTCCTGAAGCCACAAGAGGGCGCATCGAACAAAATATTATGCAAATTTATTCAAAGCATAATAAAATAACACGACTATCTTTGAAAAAAGTGCATAATGTTTAAAATAATGTTTATAAACCTTATATACATTATTTTAAAGTTTATAATTAAAGTTGCTTAAACAATTAGAAACAAAACAGAATCATGTATGTGTGTAGCCTATAGTTTAATACAAAGGACCGAAAACCAATCACAAAGAGTAGCCTACTTTCTTCATTTAAAAACTTGAGATGCAGTAGGATGGGGAAAAACCGCCATAAAGGCTTGAGACATGTTTTTAAAAAGTTGAACTTACATTTTTACATGGCTTTCTAAACATGCGGCTCTCTTGTGCGAGATGCGAGTGCAATGGTGATAGACATCCCTCTAGAAAATGCGCGAAATATGTGTTTGGTTTCAGTTTTGACATAAACAACATCATCTCCGCATTGATCTTCTTTTTTCTTCTGTGTGAACGGTTTGGTTTCGGTTTTGACGTAAACAACATCTTCTCCGCATTGATGTTCTTTTTCCCCACAATATTTTAATGAACAACGTAGCAGTGCCGCATCTAGTATGTTCAACTGGATAGGCTAAGAAAAACATTAAAATGCAATGACACTTACATCGTCATCGCATCTTGTGCACCACTGATAAGGCTGCCTGATGCACACCTAAAATTCGAATGCAACGTTTTTGCATTCGAATGTGGATTTTTATTTTAAATTCGACGAATATTCGGAATTCACATTTTTTTTTGACAGATGGTGTGTAACTGTAGACAGGCAGACAGATGGACAGTGAGTGTTGTTATGCGGTTGCTATGGTGTTTTTAGTGTGTGGCTATGGTGTGTAACTGCAGACAGGCGGACAGTGAGTGTTGTAATGCGGTTGCTATGGTGTTTTTAGTGTGTGGCTATGATGTGTAACTGCAGACAGGCAGACAGACGGACAGTGAGTGCTGTTATGCGGTTGCTATGGTGTTTTTAGTGTGTTGCTATGGTGTGTAACTGTTGACAGGCGGACAGTGAGTGTTGTTATGGGGTTGTTATGTTTTTTTTTTAGTGTGTTGCTATGGTGTGTAACTGTAGTCAGATGGACAGAGAGTGTTGTTATGCAGTTGCTATGGTGTTTCTAGTGTCTTGCTTTGGTGTGTAACTGTAGACAGGCAGACAGACGGACAGTGTGTGTTGTTATGCGGTTGTTATGGTGTTTTTAGTGTGTTGCTATGTTGTTTTTAGTATGTTGCTTTGGTGTGTAACTGTAGACAGGCAGACAGATGGACAATGAGTGTTGTTATGCGGTTGTTATGGTGTTTTTAGTGTATTGCTATGGTGTGTAACTGTAGACAGGCAGACAAACGGACAGTGTGTGTTGTTATGCGGTTGCTATGGTGTTTTTAGTGTGTTGCTATAGTGTGTAACTAGTCAGACGGACAGAGAGTGTTGTTATGCGGTTGCTATGGTGTTTTTAGTGTGTTGCTATAGTGTGTAACTAGTCAGACGGACAGAGAGTGTTGTTATGCGGTTGCTATGGTGTTTTTAGTGTGTTGCTATAGTGTGTAACTAGTCAGACGGACAGAGAGTGTTGTTATGCGGTTGCTATGGTGTTTTTAGTGTGTTGCTATAGTGTGTAACTAGTCAGACGGACAGAGAGTGTTGTTATGCGGTTGCTATGGTGTTTTTAGTGTGTTGCTATAGTGTGTAACTAGTCAGACGGACAGAGAGTGTTGTTATGCGGTTGCTATGGTGTTTTTAGTGTGTTGCTATGGTGTGTAACAGTGCGTCTCACCGGCAGTGCTCCGTCGTCTCTCCTGCACTGACTGCTGTTGTTCTGTGGTAGTTTGGCTTGTTTCAGTAAGATGGCCGCTTGTTCACAATATGCCACGTCTGTGATAAAGATCTCGTCCATCTGCAGCCCTTGAGTCTCCTGACCGCTGACAGCTACACACACACACACACACACACGCCGTTAACGGCTGTTTCCATTGACAGCGGGAAGCGTTCACTATCTGATCAATTTGAATATGATTTCCATGTGAAAAGGCAGGAAATTGCATCTTGTGTTCAAAGGGCACGTGCTGCATTCACAAGCGCTGAGTTAATGTATAATCACTGCTCATCTCTCCGAATCTGAAGCATTTGAATGTTATTAAACACACATATGCTCTTATATTAATAGATGTGACAGGTGAAGATCTGCAGCTGATAATATCACTGAACAATAAACAGAATAATGAACCGTTAGGATCACGATGCTGTAGTACATTGGTTCCCAATCCTGATCAAGGAGAACCCCAACACTGCACACTTTAGATGTCTCCCTAATCAAACACACCTGATTCAACTCATCAGCTAGTATTGACTGGATTGGGAGCCACTGCTGTAGTGTTTCAGGCCAACATTACACCTTACATTGGGTTTCCTTCTAATGAGATCCTCAAAAATAATCAAAGTGTCTCTGCAAAACAGCTGGAGTGTTGTGGTTGGTTACCAGGGTTCTCATTAACGCATTAGATAATCTTAATAGCTTCTCAGCCAATAGAAAAGAGACAGTGTGTGTTTGTACCTGATCGTTGTGTCTTTGTCACACTCTCCATGTTTCTGTGTGCGTCAGGTTCGCTGTTGTGTGTCTCAGGAACTGCTGACTGAATAGAATACAATTAGTTAGACACACACACACACACACACACACATGCATACAGGAGAGATGCGTTATCTGTGTGTGTGATGAACAGAACTCAAGCCTCTATTCAGATGCACCGATATGATCTGACATGATGTGAGTGTGTATTGTGTGCTGTGGAGCACAAGCACATACAGGCCTTTACAAATGCCACGACTGATTGTTCCTCCACACACATACTGTCCTTCTGTCATTATACAACCATAAGCACTCGAACACCGTACAATCTTTTAGTTGATCAGCAAATCTGACACATATCAGCTGTGCATTTCATTATTAAAGAGGTCAAATCATAGTTGTATTATTTATTTAAATGCTAAAAACAGTGACCATTCACACAGAACACATTTTTGTGTTTAAAAACGTGGGATGTGCATTATGCAGGTTCAGTGGAATGAAAATAAACACACGACCATGAGACACGTTTTTAAAAGCTGAAGAACTTAAAACTTGAACTCAGTGTTGTTAGAATGGCGTATAATGTGCGAGACGCTGTGAAAGACACGACATGAGCGCAGTGGTCTAAGATTTCCATCAAGTGCATGTAATGCAATGAAATGCAAAAATGCGTTATGTATGAACGGCCCTTAAACCTCATTTTACTGATGTGAAAATGTGTGTTGATGTGAACATGTTTTCAAAATACAATGAAGACAACATGGGAAAATCAGATTCCTTATGATATTCGAATTAATATGATTTTAGTCCTGTTCAAATACAAATGCAACTTGAAAGTCACAGCTGTTATAAAGAGGCCTCAAATGATGCAAAACAGAATGGTGTTTTTTACATTGAAAAATGCGACATTTGGGCAGTGGAATTGGGAAAAAAGTGCCTCATTTGTGAATGCTGTGTCATGTGCAAGATGCTGCAAGACATACGTCTCAAGCACAGTGGTCAAACACATCTGTCTAGCACGTTTACATAGAAATACAATGGAAAACCGTAATTTGGAATGGAAAAACGTGTTGTGTGAACGGCCCCTTAATGTGTTATTGGATCCAAAATCAAATATCATTATGAACACACACACACACGCACTCTCTCTCACACACACACACACACACACACACACACACACACACACACACTCTCACACTCTCTCTCGCACACACTGCTGTTACCTGAGCAATGGGGGAGGCAAAGACGTCTCTGACGTGTCGCGCTGGCGTTTTGTTCCTCTTGCGCAGCGAGCAGGTGAACGAGTCGATACGTCTTTGAACCGCAGCTGCTTGAGTCTTAGTGAGAGTCGACAACAGAACGGCTTTATCGACGTCCTCTTCTTCACCATTTACTAGCGGAGACAAACCAGCATCCTGCAGCCAGAGCTCCTCCTGCTCGCCGTCTGACACACACACACACACACACACACACACACACACGCGCGCACACACACACACACAC